ACCTTGTATCAAGATAGTAGGACACTAGCCGTAGAACCCTTCAGAATTACCTCTGGGAATTTCACAACAAGTAACAGCAAGAGCCAAGAGAGAGAACCTTGCACTGTTTGACTAGTCTTCCTTTGTACACCTTGGCCATGGCGCCTTGTCTCGCCAAAAAAAGAAGATAGAATTGATGTGGGTCTGAGAAAACTATCCTTGATCATTTGCACTGCATTTTTGGAGGAAACGACCACATGCATACAAGTTTTTGCTGAGATCTGAACATCTGATCAGTGTGCATGATCCTTACAAAGCTGATGCTGCACATTGACCAGTACTATGACTCAACTAAGCACATTAGGACTGTAGCAAAGCTGCATATGCTAATTCAGTTGCAACATCGACCCTTCCTTGTGATTTCCTTCCAGCACCACCTTGGCTTGAACACTCTGAAGCACATCCACGTATACAAGCAGCACTGCTGATGCACAGATATCGATGCGTACGCATATATAATGATGAGAGGTGGGAGGGGTCGGCTCTGCTGATCTAGTGGTACTACTAGTAGCCTAGCTAGAGAGCGAAAGAGAGAAGGAAAGAGGGCGGTCCATCCAGGCAGCAGCTGCGCGCGTGACCCACACGAGAATATTTGGAGGCGTTCGTGGGCGTGGGGGCGTGTCATGTGTGTGTGTGTTTATGTGTGTGAGTGCGAGACAGTGAGACTGGAGATATAGCTAAAGAGGGGCAGCCTTTCTTTCTTCCTCACCCCTCCCCCCTCACTCTCCCTCTCTTCTTCCTCCTCCCTGGGCTTAAGCTTATATTGCTGCTCCTTCTTCTTCTCCACCCACCTTGAGTGACCGAGTCCCTGAGCTACTAGGTAGAAGCAGCGGGGTGTACGTACGTGTGGTTGAGAAGGCCATGGCTTTCCTTGTGGAGAGGTGCGGGGAGATGGTGGTGTCCATGGAGATGGGCTCGGGGGCGCCAGGGGCGCACGGTGGCGGCGGCATCGCTGGGAAGCCGGTGCCGGCGCCGTTCCTGACCAAGACGTACCAGCTGGTGGACGACCCCTGCACCGACCACATCGTGTCGTGGGGGGAGGACGACGCCACCTTCGTCGTCTGGAGGCCGCCTGAGTTCGCCCGGGACCTCCTCCCTAACTACTTCAAGCACAACAACTTCTCCAGCTTCGTCCGGCAGCTCAACACCTATGTATGTTACTACTCATTATCTGCTGCCCCGTACACCACACATGCATCATATGCACACCTACGCATGCATGTTTAGTCCAGCAAGTCTGCTCTTTGTTCGATTTGCTTCGTTAATTAATCTTCCTCCGGTTTGCTAGTTAGGGCGTCCATGGCGTGTACATGTATATGTGTGGGATGTGTTCATGTTCATTACAAGTTTTGTTTGGTTTGGTATTTTAATTTGGTCAAAGCAATGGTGCATGCATGGATGGCCTTCCATCCATCCATCCATTGTTTCCTAGAACGTGACAAGCTAGATGCAAAAGTTAATGCTCCTCTTTTCACAGATTTTGTTTGCGAGGTGCATGGGAAAAGGGCTGTATATGGGTGTGATTGTGACATTCCAACAAGATTATTAGTTCCTTGCTTCCTGGTTTGTGACAAGCAGCTGTCGAATAGATCAAGCTGTAGCTAGAACGCGTCCATCACCCACTGTTCGTTTGTTGAATGAAATTTGATTTGATTTAATTTAATCTAATCTATGCCCTCTCCATTTCTTACTACTTTGGTCTTGCTTTGGTGACGATTCATGCAAGCTGGACGATTTTTCGGCTAATCAGTTAGTTCATCAGTTTTCTGTCAAGATGTATATATGTATGATAAGCGAGGACCGTTTTGTTTCTATTTGCACATTTGGTTTCTTCTTTTAAAGCATGAGTTAACTAGCACTTGCCATATGCTTCTCTTCTGTCACTTGGATAGCAAAAAAAACAAGTGCACAAACTAATGTGGATGCATACTAAGAAGTGGAGTTTGTACTCAGAAGCTTGTACACACTCTCCCAACATTGCCGCACCACTCTCCACTGTCAATCATTGGGGGAAGATTGACACTATACACAGGTCGGATTTATGTATGTAGAGCTATGCCCTGCGTATATACCATGCAATGCATTGCCACACCACACTACATGACATGACTACTATACGTGCAATAGCAACACTGAATATTCAGCTGCCATGTCATGTATCTCTCCCTGATGATCTCAAAGAAAACACAGTAACTATTAGGTATTGATTTTTAACTAGCTATAAGAACAGTCTGATTGAATTTTTTTTGTTCACTTGGCATTGCGGTTTGCTGCAGGGATTCAGGAAGATAGTGGCCGACAGATGGGAGTTCGCCAACGAGTTCTTCAGGAAGGGAGCAAAACACCTCCTGGCCGAGATCCACCGGAGGAAGTCGTCGCAGCCGCCTCCGCCATCGATGGTGCCACACCAGGCCGCGTACCACCACCACTACCACCTCGGCAACACCTTCTCGCCGCCGCCGCCTCCACCGCCGGCGGCTCATCATCATCACCATCACCCGGTGTACCAGCACTTCCATGAAGAGCCAGCCGCTGCGGCCGCGTCGCACGGTGGAGGCAACGGCGGCGGCGACTTCCTGGCGGCCCTGTCGGAGGACAACCGCCAGCTGCGGCGGCACAACTCGCTGCTGCTGTCGGAGCTGGCGCACATGAAGAAGCTCTACAACGACATCATCTACTTCCTGCAGAACCACGTGGCGCCCGTCACGAGCCCCTCGTCGGCCGCGTCGCAGCGGCACCTGCCGCTCCCAGGCGCCGGTGCGGGGGTCGCCGCGTCCAACTCGTGCAGGCTGCTAGAGCTGGACATGGACGTGGACCGGAACTCGCCGGCGGCTGAGGAGGACGACACGGTGAAGCTGTTCGGCGTGGCGCTGCACCACGGCGAGAAGAAGCGGGCGCACCGCGAGGAGCGCGGCGACGTCGTCCATGATCTCGGAAGCGAGGTCTAGGCTACTACGCCGGCGATCTCGCCCTCGATCGGTCGTGTACATAGAGAGGAGAGAGGAGTAGCTGTAGCTCGCTCGCTAGCTAGCTAGGTAGCTTTGCAGGCTTGGTTTCTTTTTGCGCGGGTGCTGGTCGATTTGTGTGAGAGATGAGTTAGGATCAATGAGGTCATCGAGTAGTCTGCGAGATGAGTTAGGAACGTAGGATCAATCAGGTCGCGAGTAGTTTGCTGCTTGCCAAGCCCTTGCACCATTCTTCATGATATGTTCTTTGCTGCCTTTGCCCCCATGCATGCACGAGGGCCTGCTATGTTGCTGATGCAAAAACTGGTTGCTCAATGCTATTTAAGTGCGAAGTGTCTATTTCTCTTCTTTCTCTCATGACACGGGAATAGAAAAAAGTAGAAGATGAGCTGTGCCATATCCTCTTCAATTCAGTATGATTGAAAAGGTAGTACATAAATTTTCTTCAAAAAATATTTGACATGGAGACGCCACATGAAAAACAAAGGAACGACAAATTTGAGTTGACACAAATTTTGCCCCAAAATAGTGTGTAAAGGAATCAGTAGGAATTTTCCGTAAGGATTCCAATCCTGCGAGTCTGACAACACACAGGGATAATTTTGAAGGATGCAAATCCTCCAAAAATTATGTGAAATTCCTTTGAATCAAAGAAGCCCACTGAGTGTCAACATACGAGCCTACAATTTTCATATGAGGGGCTGAGATAAGCCTAATTTGAACAAAAACAAGACAATCTATGCCCTCCCAAATTTTTAAAATTTTGCACACATGTATTGGAGAACGCAGTTTGATGGACAATCTTGTTGTGTGAGATTAAGGAATACCTCAACTCACTGTGAACTAGCTATTCCAACATATTTTTATGCTCTATTATTAAATTTACATTTACGTAAGCTAGCTATATACATTTATTAGTGTGATGGATAATTTTTTTTATAAATATCTAGGTGTCACATACAAATTATACAAGCTTATGAAGGAAATAGCAGATTTATCATAGAAAACTGTTATCTATTCTCAGCTCTTTTTGCAAGAAAACTTTCGATCTATTCATCAATTGTCATGGTAGTATAAAGAACATCAGAAGTAAAAGTTACATCCAGGTCCGTAGACCATCTAGCGATGACTACAACCACTGAAGCAAGCCGGTGCACTGTAATGGGGCCTAATAGAATTCCGTACCGAAATGATGGATTCTATCGGGATTTATCCGTTGAAGGAACAAGGGGCTGTTTGGTTTTGCCTGTGCTAGCCCCACCAATTGGGTGCACCAAATAATTGGCGCAAGAATCTGCCGTCGAAAATTTGCCAACTATTTGGCCCAAAACTAAGGAGAAATAGAGGTGGGCTGGGCGCACCAAAAAATTGGTGCCCATCCAAACGGAAAGCCCAGCCTGATCAACGGCCAATTTTTTGATCGGCATCCGCTCAAAAAGAAGAAAAGCTGAAGGCTCCAATCCAAACGGCCCCTAACTATTTTATTGGCATATTGCAAGAAAAAATTATAATCAAAATCATATACTGTAGGCTGTGAAAAAGGCAAATGCGTCTCACATTTACGGAAAGAGGGAGCAATATAATACCAAGTAAATATATACATGTTCAGATAACATTTTGCAAAAATTGATCAAGTACAAATAACATGGTAACACAACAAAAGTGTAGTTGTATGATGTAGTGTATTTGTTTTCTTAGCTGACAGATCCAACGGTTCTTACATCAGTATACAACACCAAAAATAAGTCGTAATCTCTCTTCTGTTCCCAACTACAAAGAGAAAATAACAAGGTCCACAGAGTGGAACATATATCTTGTCTGGATATTACAACATATAGCAGGTGGATCAGCAGCTCAGTACAAGCTAGTGTGTGTGTGTAAACAACTGCATGTATCCAAAGATTTTGCCGTGTCTATGTGAGACAATTATGTCTCGTGGTAAGCAGAGCAGGTCATCGTTTCTAACCATTAATGTCAATGACAGATTCACACAGGTCATCTAGTGTAAACTGGTACTTCCCAGACTTTGGTGTTCTTTTTGGGGTCGTCGCAGAGTGCAAGATCACTATCAAGTTCTTTCATTGTCTTCACAAATGTCTTTGCTCCTTGCATGATTAACCTTTCCACCATGAATAACTGGTAATTGTTCTCGATTATTGGCTCCAATATGCTACTGAAGTTAGATGAGTATGCCAACTTGTACCTGTACCCACACAATGAGGAACTCATCATAATCTTAGGCAGCTTGTCTCCTCAAATTAGATGCAAATTTCGTAACTCACCATTATATTGTTAATGGTCAAGTTCCATAGTTAGTGCGTAATGATCATGTGCATTATACATGCAGGAGAAAAATAATGAAATAGATCAAACCACAACAATTCCAAGATGGGATGCAGATTACTTAAAAGTACTACAGCTTCTAGTTGAATTACTTAGGAATGGTCAATTCCTTAAGTATATGGAAACAAAAGAAAGGAAAAAAAATCCTTGATGATCAAGCGAACACAGTTCAGTCAATCATGGTAAACTATTTACAGAAAACGAACTCTACCATGGTCATATCAGAGATCCTGATCTGTGATGCAAGTAGAGCAGATGGCAAATGGAGTCAGCCTTACCTGTCTGATAGAGGCGAGAAGAAGCCTGGTGTCCTTTCATTTGAAGCAATGAAAAGAGTGCGACCTTTTGGAATCCACTTTGCGATTCTTCTTTTGATGAACTCAGGGCGGGTATCTCTGTCCAGATGAGGATGAAGGCTCCTCTCAACACCAAATCTATCTTTCCTATTCTTCAGTAGGTCACCCCGTCTGACATGAATAGCATCATATTCACCAAGGATCTCTTTTATCTGAAGAGAGCATACCAGTTTAGTGACAGAAGACTGATGTATCACTGAACATACACAAACAGCACATTTTCTCATACTACATGGGATATTATGTTCTGCCTGACCAACTATACACAACCAAAAAAACCAAAGCTTAAGTTTGTTCTACCAAATATCTTTGGCAGAGCAGTCTCTTACAACCACAATAGACTCTGAAGTTCTTTCAAGACAAGCAGGATGCAGCTAGCATATAAACAATTTAATTTGAAGAGAAAGTAGGGACTGCACAAGTAACATCATACCACACCATATTCCAAGAAATAAATGTAGCAAGATGAAGCTCTGGAGGACTGAGAATGCATTTAAACAAAATCGCATGATGCCAATCACTAGTGAGTTAACGGTATATGCAGATACACACTGCTCCCTGCTGAGACATGTGTTCAAACGATATAACGACAAAAGTACACCAAGGGAAGTGCATAGATTTGCTTACTGGAGGATGTGGAAATCCAGAGCTTCTAACTGGGAAATTAGCATGATACACACATGGGTTACTCTCATAACTAAGCGTCAAACTTCAAGGATTTTGGGTTGCAGATTATATTTTTCTTTGGCATCAACAGAATCCACGTGACTTAAGAAATCACCCCAAACAAAAATCAAGAATAAAATTAATTCAGAACAAGCAAGTTAGTGCGATAAAACATATTTTTAATCTGAAGGGAGTAATCAGATCCGATTAAAACATGGGATACATGGCAGAAAATCATTCTAATGAAAATATACCTTACGTGCTGCAACTCTCAGTTTTCTAGCCGGCATAGTTGGCAGAAAAGTGTATGGTAACATCACAGAGGTACGCTTGGTCCGATCCTTGCACTCCATAAACCTGAACTGTAATGATGATTAAGGTCTATTCTTTAAGTTTAGACATAACATATAACTTAGGTTTGGTGTGGTCGCTAGAACTTGAGGCCATCTGAAAATAACAATTAAAGAACATAAAGACCCTGATGGAGTTGCATTCTCACCAAGCAAGAGGACTTGCAGTGCGGTTTACAAGAAGAGCATCTGAGTAAAGTGGATTAAATTTGAGTTCATCTCTGCTAACTCCTTGCACATGCGCTACGTCTCCTTCTCCTAGTTTTGTACTTCTCGACACTATCCCATACCATGAACGCGGATTGTCCAAAACAACAGGTACAGTTTTCGATATGAGGTCTATATCATATAAGGATTCCATTGCACAATAACTCGTTTCCCATCTGCAAAAACACCACAGATTCAATTTCCTATTCAATTGGGCAAAACAATGCTACAGGCAGACATAAGTGCTTAAGAAGCAAGACCTTGGATTTGAAGTTGCGTTGCTTGAATCAATTATCCCCTTTGTGTTGTGCACTGAACTAAGGCACATTCTTGAGGGCATGACAAATATTCTGCAGAGAAACCACAATGCAGTGTCATTGCACATTAGCATATCGGTCTATCCTGACCCACATTACACACAGCATTTGCACCAATTTGCCTCCTAAAAATGGATCATCCTTTGCAATTTGGAAGCATAATCTACAAAAAATTCACCGCCGGGGTACCCATTCCCATTTCATGAAGCCTAGAACCACCTTGCCACCACACAGCGGGCCGCAGGAAGCGACGAGAACGAGAACGAGATTGATTTGTTACCTGTCGAGGAAGAGGGCCTCCTCGAGGGCGCAGCGGAGGCTGGACTCCTGGTGGCCGAGGCCGGCGCAGGAGCTGCAGTGCTTGCCGGGGCAGTCGATGCGGGCGCCCCAGTAGAGGTACTTGCGGCTGCTCTCCCGCTTGTCGACGCTCCTGGGCTGGAACCCCAGGTAGGAGAACGAGTGGGTGAATGAGAGGATGCAGAGGATGGAGAGGACCGCTCCGGTGATGACAGCGGCGAGGATTGCCCTCGCGGTGGGCAGCGGCAGCGGGCTCCGCCGGCTGTGGCCGCCGGTGATCCGGTAGGGGATCGCCATGGGAGGGGGGGACCGACAGAGCGATAGAGGGGCAAGGTTGTGCGCAAATGTCTATTTTTTTCTATTCTTCTTCGAAGTATTGGAAAGCGAGTAAGGAATCAATCTCTCAAGTGGGCCATGTTGCTTACGATGACGGGCCACTGGGCTAAAATATCCTTTGTGGGTGGACTGAGATTTCCTCAGGTGCTCCCTGAAAAAACGGGCGCGCCTATATCTCGCCTTCAGCGAGTCTGAAGAGCGATCTGGGCCGGCCCACGAGGGCGGGAGGCCACAGCCTCTTTTTTCTTCTTTTACCTTTTCTGTTTTCTTTTATATTTTTCTTTATATTTTAAAATATTCTCTCTGTTCTCTATCTATCTCTCTCTCTCTCTCTATATATATATATATATATATAGAACAAGTATTTAAAAAATATTTTAAAAATGCTGAGCAAGTATTTAGAAAATGTTGAACAAGTATTTGAAAAAATATTGATCATATATTTAAAAAATGTTGAACATGGATTTTAAAAATATTGAACAAGGATTTGAGAAATGTTGAATAAGTATTTGAAAAATGTTGAACAAGTATATGCAAAATGTTAAACAAGTATTCTAAAAATGTTGAACAAAGATTTGGAAAATTATTGATTGTGTGTATAAAAATATTGAGCAAGTATTTGCAAAATGTTGAATTTTTTTTGAAAAATGTTGAAAAAGTATTTGCAAATTTTTTGTTCATGTATATAAAATTGTTGAATAAGAATTTGCAAAATATTGAACATGTATTTGTCTATTTGAAAAAATGTTTTTCATGTATATAAAAATGTTAAACAAGTATTTAATGATGTTGAACACTTATTTAATTTTTTATCATGTATATAAGATTGTAGAATGAAAAAAGAAACAAATAAGAACCGAAAAACGAAAAAAATTCAAAAATAAACCAAAGGAAAATGAAAATGAAAAAACTGAAGAAACTAATGAAAAAACCTGGAGAAGAAAAAAAACAAAAAAACGGACCTTATATAATGGGAACCAGTAGTACACGCCCGCCTTATTTCCTTTAAGTAGAACCCGTCATAGTAGTAAAACTGAAGGAAATATGTCCTAATGGCAATAATAAAGTTGTTATTTTATATTTTCTTATATCATGATAAATGTTTATTATTCATGCGAGAATTGTATTAACCGAAAACTTGATACATGTGTGGATACATAGACAAAACACCGTGTTCCTAGTATGCCTCTACTTGACTAGCTTGTTAATCAAAGATGGTTAAGTTTCCTAGCCATAAACATGTGTTGTCATTTGATGAACGGATCACATCATTAGGAGAGTGATGCGATGGACAAGACCCATCTGTTAGCTTAGCGTAATGATCGTTCAGCTTTATTACTACTGCTTTCTTCATGTCAAATACATATTCCTCCGACTATGAGATTATGCAACTCCCGGATGCCGGAGGAATACCTTGTGTGCTATCAAACATCATAACGTAACCGGGTGATTATAAAGATGCTCTATAGGTATCTCCGAAGGTGTTTGTTGGGTTGGCATAGATCGAAATTATGATTTGTCACTTCGAGTATCGGAGAGGTATCTTTAGGCCCTCTCGATAATGCACATCATAAGAAGCCTTGCAAGCAATGTGACTAATGAGTTAGTTGCGGAACGAAACGAGTAAAGAGACTTGCCGGTAACAAGATTGAACTAGGTGTGAAGATACCGACGATCGAATCTCGGGCAAGTAACATACCGATGACAAAGGGATTAACGTATGTTGCATAACGGTTCGATCGATAAGATCTTCGTAGAATATGTGGGAGCCAATATGAACATCTAGGTTCCGCTATTGGATATTGACCAGAGAGGTGTCTCAGTCATGTGTACATCGTTCTCGAACCTGTAGGGTCCGCACGCTTAACGTTCGATGGCGAAGTCCTGCGCAGATCACTTCACCATCACCGTCACCACGCCGTCGTGCTGACATAACTCATCTACTTCCTCGACACTCTGCTGGATCAAGAGCTCGAGAGATGTCATCGCGCTGAACGTGTGCAGAACTCGGAGGTGCCGTAAGTTCGGTACTTGATCGGCCGGAACGAGAAGAAGTTCGACTACATCAACCGCGTTGGCAAACGCTTCCGCTTTCGATCTACGAAGGTACGTGGACACACTCCCCCCCTCTCGTTGCTATGCATATCCTAGATAGATCTTGCGTGAGCGTAGTTTTTTTTGAAATTTCATGCTACATTTCCTAACAGTGGCATCCGAGCTAGGTCTATGCATAGATGATATGCACGAGTAGAACACAAAGAGTTGTGGTCTACGCTTGCTCTGCTTGTGGCTCGATTCGGGCTCTTTGATTTGGGTAATAGGCACTTCCTCATGTCAACGATCCACATGTGCATCTCGTAGCATGTGTACATGCTCTTGGCCGCGAACCTGAGGTGAGGTTCATCTAGTCGCCGCATCCAGGCCCTGTGCTAGGATACGGGACTTGTTCTCTGGGCATCCTACTTCATCTTTTCGTAGTAGGGGTCGATGATGGCTGAGGCGAGTTCGACCAGGGAGTCCTTCTTCGTGCTTCCCCAGACCCTGTAGTGGTCACGGATTTTGACAAGGTTCTTGCAGGCCAAGCCCGTAACACTGAGCGCTTTTACATCGTCGGTGGTTTCCACCATGGCGAACTTGTAGTCGGTGCTGTTGACAAACCTGTTGAAACGGTCGCAAGGTTCTCTGGCCATGCAGTAGTGGTAGCTGAGGACATGATGGCGCACGCACAACTGGGCAAGGACAACCTTCTGATCTATGCCGGGACTACCGGCGGTGTACTGGAGGTCGATGCCGACCACCTTGTACTTGTCTCCAGCAAGCAACTGCTCAACGGTGTTGATGTAGTCGTCCACCACGGACGGGGCGATGGTGTACACCACCGAGAGATCTATCTCCCTCGCGTGGGTGTCCACTTTATGCTCGCCGAACTTCATTGGAGCGCTGCTAGACATCCCCTCTCTATGTGTCGTCGTGGGTGTGCTTGTTGTGTTTTGGGGCGTGATCGAAAGGTTGAAGAGACTAAGATTATAATGGCCGCAGGAATTAAAGTGGAGGCCAGACGGCCTGGAATATCGATCGGCACGCCCTGATAGCAGTTCTAATTTGCAGCGCGTAACTCCATTGTGCTGCATGTAACTGCATCGCGTGGCAACACGCGCGGCGCAACCGCATGCATATGGCCCCCCCGACGTGATCGTGCGCATGCCCAACCGCTAGCAGAGTGCACGCGGAGGGACGCGAGCAGAGCACTCTGCAGTCGCCTCAACGGCGAACAACCATATATATGCATATAGTAGTTGAACACGCAAGGAAAAGCTGTCCACAACCCAAGCGCGCCGACGGAAGCGAGCAGAGCATGCCGCGGCGCCTAACGGTGAGCACAGTGCGCTGCGGCGCCTATCGGCGAGCAGAGCTTGCCGAGGGACGCGAGCAGAGGTCGGCACCATGTGTTTTGTGGGCAAACGCTTGCTGGTATATAACCTCAAATTTAACCAACAAAATGTTACATGTTACAAAAATTATATAACTGGAAACTATGTTCAAATACGAATCCGACGATATAATCTTTGGCGACATGCATTCATATTTTATTAATTAAATCCTACTTATAAACTAGGATGGGAATATAGTAGTTAATTAAATTGCAAACGTTTTTTTATTAAACGTATATGTACGTGTCCTTTCATCCTTCTCTCACACGTCTTGTCACCCTGCTGCCACAGACGGTTCGAGCACAATCTTGAGCAGCGCGCGGGGGTGTTCTTTTGGCCAAACGGTGCTGAGCTCGTTCCCGCACAACCGCGCAGGTTCGCGTGCAAGCTTCCCGCCCGACTCGGTGAAATCCCCCAAAATCTCAATGCTTGTCAGCCTACTATATAAACCCTCATGGTCGGTGAGTCCTGCGTCGCATTTTCCCCTCCCTCCTTATAGCTTATCTTGTCTGCTTCTCGGAAAATCGACAATGGCACCGTACCATTGTCGTCACTCAGCCACTTCGCCGTCATAAGAGCACAACTCCAGCTGGGAGGCTACACCACGGCGGCGGCGCAGTCCCCAGCGTAATGTAGTGCGCGCGGCGTCCCAGTTGGGTGTGCGCGGAACACGCACCACACGCTCGGCCGTCGGTGCCCGTCGGCAGCTGTTGCCGGCCGCCGTTGCCGCCACAGCTCTGTCGAAAGCCAGGGCCATTGCTCGCTCTACCGCCACGGCCTGAAGGAGGGAGGTGGCCGTCGTGGCCGCCACCCTACTGGCGGCCACCATGGCCATCACCCGCTCCTCCACCGCGGCCTAAAGGCGGGAGGTGGTGGTCGTGGCCGCCAGCCCATCATCGTCCGCCGTGGCCGCCAGCCCACCGTCACCACCGGGATCATCACTCGCTCCGCCACCATCGCCCGTAGGAGGGAGGCGGAGGTGGAGGCCCGCACGTGCAGCAGCGACCTTGCGCGCTACATCAAGTTCCTGCGGGAGGAGGAGGAGCACCTTGTCGAGCACACAAAGAGCCTTACCGCCGCCGTGGCCACAGCACACGCTGACGCATAGGTGAGGAATCAGGAGATCTACGAGAATTCTGGCCGCTTTGAGAGGGGTCGTCTAGAGCGGCAGAGGGCGTTCGAGGTGAGCGTCGCTGAAGGTGCAGCAGCGGCAGGCACCGTATTGAAGTTGTCCATCTCGTCGGTAGGCTCCTCCTCCTCTTCCTCTTACTGAGCACGCTCGGCAGAGGAGAGGCTGCCGGAAGTAGTAAAAAGCCCCTCCGTAGTAGTAATTAGGGGCTATTTTGTTCAGTTCATCTGACTATAGATATGGTGGAACTGTACAACGTACTTAAAATTAGCTAGTATATATAGTTGAACTAGCTATTTCAGTACGTGGTTGGCAACAATTGGGGGAAAAGTTTGGTCAGTTCAGCTGTAAAGTTGAACTATTTGTATAAATTAAGCACGACTGCTTAATCTATGAATGAA